AAGACCAAAGGTAATAAATAATAATAATATAATAATAATAATAATTCTACAGCCTCATCAGTTCTGGATTTTTGTTTTCACATAGTTTATAAAGTGGACACCATTTTATTATTATACTATTAATAACACACTCATAAAATCATAAGTCGGCAGTGTATCAGAATAAAGTACATAAATTACTGTTATATTTTCTGTAAATCATATGCGTATGTTGCAGATATAGACGAGTGCACCTTCCAGAACATCTGTATATTTGGCACATGTCATAATATTCCAGGGATGTTTCATTGTGTTTGTGATGACGGCTATGAGCTGGACAGGACAGGTGGAAACTGCACAGGTAAGCATGCTGTTACTCTACAATATCAACAGCTGTTCTTCACCTCACACTGTGACTGCTTTCTGTGTTGTTGTGATGTCAGATGTGGACGAGTGTCTCGATCCCGTCAGCTGTGTTAATGGTCACTGTGAGAACACAGCCGGCTCATACCAGTGTAACTGTCCCATTGACTTTGAACTCAACCCCACTGGAATCGGCTGCGTTGGTAAGACTGATTATTAAATATAACCTAACCCAATGCTATCACAATCATAGTACTTGCACATCAAGAGATGTAATGTATTTATTGTAAGTCCTGCAGTCCAAGTGCTCTGTGGTCATCCATAAAATCTCACATGCAGTCTGTTGGTATGTTTCCATGCGGCAGACACACAAGTAGGGAACTGTTTTCTGGATGTGGTGTACCATGGCCGTGGCGGGCTGGCGTGTAGTGTTGAGTTGGGGTTTGGAGTCAGTCGTTCGTCATGCTGCTGTTCACTGGGACGAGCATGGGGTAACCCATGTGACCTTTGTTCTCCACTCAACACCTGTAAGGAACTCTGCAACAATCCTCAATAGTTTAATACTACAGTACTTCAAAACAGCAGGAATTTGGTTATACAGTGGAACAATATGTCACTACTTCCATACTAAATGCAGTTCAGTACTACTACACGTCAACATTGTAGCGTCTGGACCACTCAAACACACAATATATATTTTGTTAGCTAGATTTCACAAATACTTTGTTAGAAGATGAACACATTCTGAAATCAACGTCCCTAGGCACTTTCATGTAGGAATATTGTACGCAGGAGATTATTTTGATCTATAATACTATAAATAACCCTATTATAATAGTAAATTAATGCTAACAATTCTAATTTACTCTCTTAATTACCTCAGTAATTACATCAATACTTAGGATACAAGTATAGTATAATATGATAGTATTTCCGTAATTTAATTTCAATTTGTCATTTAAAGGCATTTTTTAATTAGCTTGTTTTTTTTTTTATTTAGTCTGTAGTTATTTTATTTTTCTGTAGTTATTCAAGGCACTTTCAGTATAATGTCATATCTTTTTGTGAGTTACTTCATATTGGCTTGGCATATTGAACAAATATTGATGAATATGAATGTGGTAGTTGACTGATGAGTGTATCATGTGTCTCTAGTGGAGTATAACACATTGTGTCCTGGAGGATAGGGGTTCAAACTCAACCCCATCACCATCATCCTGGAAGGTAATCCGGCATCTTCACTGAACATACTGTTAATAACAGTTAATTATTCCTATGAAATTATTGAAAATACTTAAGCAATAGGGTAATAGAGGCTGCACCATATTGAGAATACAGTAAAGTCAAATCAAGACACCTTTATTTTTTGTAGCTCTTTATACAATACAGATTGTTTCAAAGCAGCTTTACAGTGAGAATCAGGAAAATAACGATTCAGTGATGCAAACAAAATTCAGTTCTGCTTTAAAGCAGCTGAGTCATTATTTAGTTTAAATCAGTTAATTGTTGATTCAGTTTGGTTTAATAACTGTGGAAATGTCATCAATTATGGAAAGAGTTTTCATCTATAAAGCAGCCCTGGATAAATGTCACTATCAGTGATGTCATCATCAGCTCAGTTCAGTTCAAAGGTGACAGTGGCAAGGAACGCCAACTCCATTGTGACAAAAATGGAGAAAAAACCTTGGGAGAAACCAGCATCAGTTGGGGTTCAGTTCTTCTCTGGCCAGACGAAACAACATGGTTTGGATTTTTCTGGGCTGCATTACAAGTCAGAGTTGTGGACTGATATCTTTCTGAATATTTCATCCAGTTCCTTCTCTTTGAAGATCAGGATACATTATGCCAGCGTTTGGTGGGGAGGGGAGTTGAAACTTGCCATGGAAAACATGTCTGGTTCTTGTGGTCTGTGCTGAGGATCTGTGATGATGGTTGTTGTGGTGACGTGGTCTTCACAGGGGATCTGTCTCTGGGGTGCATCTAGTTGACATGGTCTCCGCTGACATCAGGGCTGTTGTGGTCATCTCTAGGTGCTAATCCACCACCTGGTCTGAATATGGACTGGATCCGTATGGCTACAGTGACCTCAAAATAAGAATGAAAGAGACTAATAATAGCATAGATGCCATTCTTCTTATGATACTCTTGGTAGTACCTAGGATAGCAAAGTCCACTAAAGGAGGGAGAGCTTTTTCGCATTTGGCTCCCAAACTCTGGAATAACCTTCCTGATAACGTTCGGGGTTCAGACACACTCTCTCTGTTTAAATCTAGATTAAAGACACATCTCTTTGCATGTGCATCAAATCTCCCTCGATCTGGGGCTCCATGCAAGATCTCACCCCGTGGGGTCAAAATTATCACAAGAACTGTGAGCAAAAATCCCAGAACCACACGGGGGGACCTAGTGAATGACCTGCAGAGAGCTGGGACCAAAGTAACAAAGGCTACCATCAGTAACACACTGCGCTGCCAGGGACTCAAATCCTGCAGTGCCAGATGTGTCCCCCTGCTTAAGCCAGTACATGTCCAGGCCCGTCTGAAGTTTGCTAGAGAGCATTTGGATGATCCAGAAGAGGATTGGGAGAATGTCATATGGTCAGATGAAACCAAAATATAACTTTTTGGTAAAAACTCAACTTGTCGTGTTTGGAGGAGAAAGAATGCTGAGTTGCATCCAAAGAACACCATACCTTCTGTGAAGCATGGGGGTGGAAACATCATGCTTTGGGGCTGTTTTTCTGCAAAGGGGCCAGGACGACTGATCCGTTTAAACGAAAGAATGAATGGGGCCATGTATCGTGAGATTTTGAGTGAAAACTTCCTTCCATCAGCAAGGGCATTGAAGATGAAACGTGTCTGGGTCTTTCAGCATGACAATGATCCCAAACACACCGCCTGGGCAATGAAGGAGTGGCTTCGTAAGAAGCATTTCAAGGTCCTGGAGTGGCCTAGCCATTCTCCAGATCTCAACCCCATAGAAAATCTTTGGAGGGAGTTGAAAATCCGTGTTGCCCAGTGACAGCCCCAAAACATTACTGCTCTAGAGGAGATCTGCATGGAGGAATGGGCCAAAATACCAGCAACTGTGTGTGAAAAACTTGTGAAGACTTACAGAAAACGTTTGACCTCTGTCATTGCCAACAAAAGGTATATAACAAAGTATTGAGATGAAATTTTGTTATTGACCAAATACTTATTTTCCACCATAATTTGCAAAGAAATTCTTTAAAAATCCTACAATGTGATTTTCTGGATTTTTTTTCTCATTTTGTCTCTCATAGTTGAGGTATACCTATGATGAAAATTACAGGCCTCTCTCATCTTTTTAAGTGGGAGAACTTGCACAATTGGTGGCTAACTAAATACTTTTTTTCCCCACTGTAGATTTAAACTGACAGAGTGTGTCTGCCTCCCGAACAACGCTAGGTAGATTGTTCGAGGTGTTGGGCGCTAAATAGGAAAAGGATCTGCCGGTTGATTTTGATATTTTAGGTACTATCAAATGGCTAGAGTTTTGAGATCACAGCAGACATAAAGGACTATAATGCGATATGAGCTCACTCAAGTACTGAGGAGCTAAACCATTCAGGGCTATATTAGTTATTAGCAGGATTTTAGAATGTATGATAGGTTCAATAGTAAGCCAGTGCAGTGCTGACAGAACTGGGCTAATGACATTGAGAACCAGGCTTCTGACATTGAGAACATATGTGGGAATTTAGATCTATTTTTGAGAGAGAAAAAATAAGTTTTACAAATGTTAGAAATGTGGCTTTCAAATGAAATATTACTATCAAAAAGCACACCCAAGCTTCTAACTGACGACATAACTGACAGCCGTCAGGTGTAAGATTGTGTTCTAGGTTATTATGTGAGGAGGTTTTTGGACCAATAATTAGATTTTTTTCCACATAATTTATTAGTAGGAAATTACTTGTCATCCAGTTTTCATGTTAGCTATGCATTCCATTGTGTAAATTTGTATGTTTCATCAGGTCGCGAAGAAATATAGTGCTGAGTATCATCTGCATAACAGTAAAAGCTAATACCATGTTTCTTAATGATATCGTCCAAGGGTAGCATGTACAGGATAAAAAGCAATGGTCCTAGTGTTAAGCCTTGTGGTACTCCATAAAGAACTTGTGATCGATATGATAACTCTTCATTTACTGCTACAAATGATGGCCATCAGATAAATAGGCTTTGAACCATGCCAAATGCAATTCCGAGTTTATTTAACCCTCAAGCATCCTTCGTTGGTCCTTCGTGTACAAATTTGGGCGTGAAGGTCTCAGGAGTGATCCTATTTTATTTATTTTTATATAAATTTCATATCACTATCTTTGATAAAATAAAAACTGTCAATTTATGCAATTTTCTTTTTATTTTTTGTGTTTTTTAATTTATTTATTTACTTCTGAAAGTACCATATTTTTATGTAAAATATGCTTATTTTATGATATAATTAATATTTATTTTACTTCAGTAAAAAATTTATCAATCCAGTAAGTTCAGACAGCCAAAACCTAAAACTTGGTGTCATTGGTGACATCTGGTGACATATGATGGTATAAAAATATTAAATATATCAATAGCCACTATTTGGCTGTAATACTCAATGGCTGCATATAAGCTGAAATCTATAAACCATTGTTGTCACCTGTGAACTTCCTGTTTGTCCTGTCATGTCTAAGGAGGCCATCTGTGAATCCTTGTCCTACCCTGTCACGGCTATGGAGGCCATTTGTGAACTCTCTACCCGTCCTGTCACGGCTATGGAGGCCGTCTGTGAACTCACTTCCCATCCTGTCACGGCTATGGAGGCCGTTTGTGAGCTCTTTGCCTGTCCTGTCACGGCTATAGAGGCCGTTTGTGAACTCTCTGCTCATCCTGTCACAGCTATGGAGACTGTATATGCTCTGTCTGTCTCTTGTGTCTCAGTTTTCCCCAGGTCCCAGTCCCTACCACGGAGGGCTCCTGTTCCCGAGTTAAGCCCAGGGAGGGCTCCTGTTCCCGGGTATAGTCCACAGAGGTCTAGGGAGGGCTCCTGTTCCCGAGTATAGTCCACAGAGGTCTCCTGTTTCCCCGTCTCCAGTGTCGGCTCCAGCCCTGGAGCTCTCTCCAGTGTCGGCTCCAGCCCCAAGACTCACCCCAGTGCCAGCTTCTCGAAAGCGCTTCGCTGTGCCTGCTCCTCCAGAGCACCTTCCAGTGCCAGCACCATGTAAGCGCTATCCTGATCCCCAGTACCTCCCTGGAAGGGCTCCAGATCCTCAGTTCCGCCCAGGAAGGGTTCATGTCCCTGAGTTAGGCTCAGGGTGGGCTCCTGTTCTGTCTGATCTGCCATGGAGATCTTCTGCTCCGTCTGCTCTGCCCTGGTGGGCTCCTGTTCCATCTGCTCCACCTTGGTGTCCTGCTCTGCCGGCTTTGCCTCAGTTCCCAGTCTCTCCATTTCCACATGGGCCTGGCCCACCATCCCTCCCCCTGTTCCTCCTCCGCTCCACCACCCTCCTGGATGGTATTGTGTTGGGAGCGTCTGGAAACCGCTCCTTGGGGGGCGAGGGGCTCTGTCACGAATCTGGTCCGTGGGCTTCAGGCCGATTGCCACTAGAGGTTATTCTCCCATTACATTGACTCTCACACCACACAGACTGTTACACATCACCCTGGACTGCATTTCCCATCAACCATTGCACTGATTACATGCACACAGCTGAATGCACTGATCACACACACACAGCTGAATCCAATCCGATATGCTACTTAAGCCATGGACTTCCTCTCTCTCACTGCCGAGTATTGTTCTGCATTTTTCACTCCCCAAGTGTTAGCTGCCTTACTGAGCCATTCCGTGTTTTCTGTTTTCGTCTCGTGTATTGTTTTGCGTGTATCCCTGTTTAGCGGATAGCTACTTTACCGAGCCTGTTTAAGTTTTCATAGTTTTCTTAGTCTTGC